AAGTGTTTAAACATTTTATCCAAATTTCATTTCATATATAATATTTCATCTCCATGCTTTATTATCTATCTATTGATAAAATAGCTCCCATATCAAATAATATTTTTATCTTCCTGTTCTCTTATTTCAAATGTCAATCTACTCATTTCAGCAAAATCCAACATTTTCTTAATAATTTCTTCATCAGTAATTATCTTCTCTCCTTTCCAATTTTTTGCAAATACAATTCTAGCCTTTGTTAAAATATTCACAATTAAATATTGCAATTCTTTATTAAATGTCTCTGGTAAGATCCCTAATAAAAATGTCTATGGTTTAAAGTCAATATGTCTCTTTGTCATTTTTTCCAACCACATGTGTATCTTAGTCCAAAATTTCCTTGCTTCTACACACGTCCACCACATATGGTAATAAGATCCTGGGGTCTGATGACACTCCAACACTTCTCCGATTTATTCTTGAGCATTCTGGCTATCCTCATAGGGGGTAGATGCCACCTGTAAAACATCTTATACAAATTCTCTTTATATGCTTTAGACGTTATCATTTTATGATTATGTGACCACAATTTATGCCATTTCTCTAAATCAATACCGTAATCAAAATTTTTCCCCCACGCTATCATTGATTCTTTAACTTGTTCTTCTTTCAATTTTACCTCTAGCAAGTATCCATATATATATATGTTTTCTGAGGTTTTCGCGGGTGTTTGTATGTAGGTCTTTGGTTATTCGGGTTTTCTCCTGCGTAAAATTGGAAGTGGCTTGGTGACGTTTCGATGAAGTCTCATTCGTCATCTTCAGGCTGGTGTTTTTGGCTTTGTGCTTCTAGGAGCAATGTGAGATAGCAGCTGTCTCTTCCTTTTAACTGCCAGTGGGGGTGTGAACTGATTGGGTGGGAGCTTGGCTGTGTTCTAATTGGGTGGAGGTGTGTTCTGATTGGTTGGGAGCTTGGCTGCGCTCTGATTGGATGGGGGGTTGGCTGTGCTCTAATTGGATGGGGGTGTGTTCTGTTTGGGTGGGGGCTTGGTTGTGCTCAGGTTAGTCTGAGTTGCAGGGGGATTTGAGCTGGTGAGCTGCATTGTTGTTGTTTGGCTTCACATTCGTGGTCATGCCACATCTTCATGGTGGGTATTAGTTTGCTTCATGTATGGATTGGAGGGATTTAAAGTGGCTAATGATGCAGCTGCAGTCTGGCTTCTGTTTGTGGTCGTGCTTCATTATCGGTGTGGGTTTGAGTTTGCTTCTTGCATGGGTGTGTGGTGGTGACATCCTGTGTGGTTTCATGAGAACACACCCCCAGCCAATCAGAGCACAGCCAACCAGTTAAAAGGAAGAAACAGCTGCAATCACACATTGCTCCTAGAAGCACGAAGCCAAAAACACCAGCCTGAAGGGCCTGCTGGCTCAGCAGACTAAAAGCATTGTGATTAACACCAGCTGTCTGCAATTATTGTAAGTTCGAATCTCACCAGGCTCAAGGTTGACTCAGCCTGCCATCCTTTCTAAGGTAGGTAAAATGAGGACCCAGTTTGTGGGGGCAATAAGCTGACTTTGTATAAATATACAAAAGTATGAAGGCTATTGCTTAACGCATTGTAAGCCATCCTGAGTCTCCGGAGAAGGGCGGCATATAAATCAATTTTTTTAAAAAATGATGACAAATGAGACTTCTAGGAGCACGAAGCCGAAAACACCAGCCTGAAGATGATGAATGAGACTTCGTCGAAATGTTGCCAAGACACTTCCAATTTTACGCGGGAGAAAACCCGAATAACCAAAGACCTACATACAAACACCCGCGAAAACCGGAGAAGGGCGGCATATAAATCAAATTAAAAAAAAATAGTCTATTTGAAAGTAAATTCACCGCTTAAAATTCTTTAATCTTTATCATCCTCACACTTATCTCACAAGGTGAACTTGTCAATTTAAAATGTTGTTCTCTCACTGCATCGGATAACTGTTCTTCCTCTTTCTTCCTCCAAAGCTGTCCCAGCCTTGGCAGCCGCAATGGCTGCTTCCCCGCTGTAGGAAAAAGGGCTTTTGTGATCTACCAGGAACTTTGTGGTGTCCCTGGGATCAACAGAATGTGCCCTCCACTACCACAGTCAAAACTAGACTGTGGGGTTCAAACTGGATTGTCTAGCAGTGGGGCTATTGGGGGGGATTCTGGAGCCCCAAAATCGCCCGCCCATTTCGCCGTGACATCAATTTCCAGTCTCAGTTTTTCAAGTGTTGAGCATACTCTTTGCCCATCAGTAGCATTTGTCAATTATTCTTCTCCATGAATTAACAAATAACCATTGCTATTTATTAATCCATTTTCTCCTTTTATTTTTATGGGAGAAATTGGAATGTAGGATGCACATTTACAGGGGAAAAATTGAAATAATGCATATTTAAATGAATGCCTCAACCCTAACATCTTTGACAACTTTGGTCTCTGATTGCTGTTCAACTTAGACAAACAATAGCAAATTCCAGAGAAATGTCACCATATCAGGACTCAGTGTTAAACTGAAAATGCCAATCACATAATTTATTATCTGCTACACCAGTTTTCTATAATTCCATGAAGGATTGAACAGTATTTACAGTAGCCTTCAAAGAAATTAAGTAATATTTTGATTACCACTTTGGTGTAGTAATTAAATACACAGGGCTACAAACCAGCAGTGAAATCCATTTACCTTCGCTTCTGGTTCGGGAACAGGAGCACGCGGGAGCACATGCATGTTACATGCACATGTGCCTCTTCTGCACATGCGCAGAGCCTTCTGCGCATGCGCAGAGGATTAAAAAGGGAACATAATGATGTCCCGGCGGATGGGCAGTCTCCCATCACTGGCGCTACCAGTTCACATGAGTCGGATCAATCCAGTCAGATTTCACCGCTGCTATAAATCTTGAAACCATAGATCCTAGTCCTCCCTTAAGCACAGTAGTCATCTGAATGACCTTGGATTGGTCCTTCTCTCTCAGGTTTAAAAAGGCAATAGCAAACCATTTCCAATGTATTAAAAAAATGCAGATACTTCTCCAGTCACAGGAATAAAGTCTCTCTCTCTCCCTCTCCCTCCCTCCCTCCCTCCCTCCCTCCCTCCGTCTCTCTCTCTCTCTCTCTCTCTCTCTCTCTCTCTCTCACACACACACACACACACACACACACACACACACACACAATGTAGATAGGGAAATGTATGGTCATGTGGCCAGCATTATATGCCAAAGGCACATGAAACACTGTTGCCTTCCCACCAAAGTGGTACCTATTAAACAGCTTGCACTTGCATTTGGAACTGCTACGATAGTACTTTTAATATTTAAAAACAATTTATTTGAAATGTATTAATAATGAAGAGCCTATCTAGTCCCCTGCAATCTATTCAGATTCCGTTGATTGAAGAAGCATTATGGAAAATGGTTATATATTAAGGAAACAAATAAATATAGGTGTAACCCATAAAAATGACAGATAAAAAGGAATAAATAGATTAGTTAATTTATTATGTAAATAGATTCAACTTACATTATATCTTTGTTTACATATTGATAATGAAGTTGATTGACTTCAAATTCTGAATATTTAAATAATAAAAGGAATGGTTGATGAATAATAGTGAAGATTCATGGTGATTTTGGAAAAAAAAAACATTTTCAGAAAATTTTATCCCTATTATCTTAAAAATAGATTTCAAACATTTGAAGAATAATAGAGGCATTTATAATTAATAAATAATTTTGTCATCTCCCAGTCACAAATTATCATCCCACACTGATATAGTTTGGGTCAAATTCAGTGTATTTCAATTAATATACAATTTATAGCAGACTACCATTTTATCAATGTCGATATGTAACAATTTCATCACTCTTTTCATTTGAATTAATTTCTATTCCTTTAATTAATTAGGAGGTTTGACTGGAAGATATACAAACTATATAGGAAATTATGTATATCTTTAGCATATGAGTAGTTGGTCTTTACTTTTTAGTTTACTTAGTCAAATAAGTATAATAATAAGTGTGTCTAATCAAAATTCTTTGATTAGACACACAAATAATTTGTTTTTTGGTACAGAAGCACCGAGTGTACATACAAAACAACAAGACAGTCGTCATCATCATCATCATCATCATCATCATCATCATCATCATCATCTTCATGTGTACAGTCAATAGAATTAAAATTAATAATTTAAGGGATAAATATAATGCAGCCACAACTTCTGGGTGAATTATAGATATGCATTTTTAAAACCCAAACAACTGATGCTGGATAAAAAAATGAGTAGTGCAAATTCACTTGGAGCAGAAAATCACTCAACAGGATTGCTTTTATGGTGGGAAATAGGAAGCAGATGTATTAAGTATGTTTACCATTTTGAGGTGTGTTTGTGTATGTGTGAACAAGATAAATCATAATAGTAATGCCTAGCCCATGCCCTAGAGAAGAATTCAATAGATGGATAAAAATGCCAAATGCAGTGTAATCATTGGGCTGACTGTGTGATGAACCATAATAAAATAATCTTTGTCACCACACATGGAGAAGACTTTTTAGCTTATTTTTCTACTGTTATGTTTTTACCAATGTTATTGTGATTGTTTTACTTTCAACATTTATATTGTAACATTAGTGTGCTGCCAATAGTCTGGGACAATTCAATTTTAAGGGGTGATCTGCAAAATTGTAAAATAAGGAAATAAATTCAGACTGTCTTATTTATTTCAACAGCCTTTCTACTAAATCCGTGGAAAAACAACAGGAAATTTGACCTGTAATGTGCTTGCTGAAATAATGCAGAACAATATCTAAATAGTTAAAGAGTCTTCACTAGAGGTCTGCAAACTTGGCAGCTTTAAGACTTGTGGACTTCAGAATTCTGGGAGTTGAAGTCCACAAGTCTTAAACCTGCCAAGTTTGAAGACCTCTGGTCTTCACTCTGCATGGAAAATACATTTATAGAATAACAAATCAATTTTATAAAGTTATTTTTAAATCAATTTTATAAAGTTATTTAAATTTAAAAGCTTGAATACAGCAACCTTTATTTCCTTATTCCTCATGCTGTAGATCAGTGGGTTCATCATGGGTGGAACCACTGAATATATGACAGCAAATACCATATTGGTTTCTGAGGAGACATGAGGTATTGGTCTCAAGTACACAAGCATTCCAGTGAACAGGAACATTGAGAAAACGATGAGATGAGGAATGCATGTAGAAAAAGCCTTTTGTCTTCCTTTTGATGAGGGCATTCGAAGCACTGTTAGGAAGATCTGGATGTAAGTCACAACTATAAAGAGAAAGCAGCCAAATGCTATGGTAACACTCAGGATAAGAAGGACATTTTCAACTTGGTATAAATTAGAGCATGAGATTTTTAGTAGCTGTGGAAGCTCACAGAAAAACTGGTCAATTACATTGGAACAGAAAGTCATGGCAAAGGTAGTACCAGTGTGCAAGATGGCATAAAGAAATCCACTGAGCCATGCACTGCCTGCCATCTGGATGCAGGCTCCTTTGTTCATAATTACCTCATATCTAAGTGGGTTACAGATAGCAATGTATCGGTCATGGGCCATGACTGTGAGGAGAGTATAATCAGAAGCTGCAAAGAGGAGGAAGAGAGACACTTGAAAGATGCAACCAACATATGAAATCAATCTGGTGTTCATGAGAGAATTTGACATGGATTTGGGTATGGTGACAGAAACAGCTCCAAGATCAGTTATAGCTAAATTCATAAGAAAGAAGTACATAGGAGTATGTAGTCGGCGATCAAGAATGACTGCAGAAATAATGATGAGATTTCCTGAAATGGCAGCCAAATAAAAAACCAGAAACACAACAAATTGCAGAATCTGTATTTCACGGATATCTGAGAACTCCAACAGCAGAAATTCTGTCATAGAGGTTTGGTTAGACATATCTTTCATTTCTCAAAGTTAAATTAAGTATAGTTTCTGGAGGGTAAAAGGAAGAAAACAGGAAAAAATTAAAAAAAAATTCTTTCATAATTATTTCATATATTTGAACTTTTTTTTTTACATTTGCTAAAAACCTGTTATTTGAACATCATATTTGAAAAAAATAAATGCTTATCATCTTGATTAGTGCCATCTATTAGAGTTTACTTATACTGGCACTTAACTGATCTTTGAAAGCATCTGTAAAGCTTAGAGCACAAACAAGACTATAATTCAATGTCTGATTACTTTCTTGTTTAGTTCTTCCTCTGGATATATGTTACAGAAACCAAAGAATTGCAGTTATAATAAGATTTTCATCCAATATTATTTTCAGTCCATCCTTTCTGATTTTTTATTTGAATTTATACCAATGACAATTTCTACAAATCAATTTTTTTTTTAAATGATGATGACAATAACAACCAGTGATCATGGTGGTTAAGGTAATGATAAAATATTCTCAATTCTTTAAACTTATGTTTATCAATATAAAACTTTAATGCATCTTCAAAATGTGGAGACCATATTAGAGTATTTACAACTTTGCAAAAAGTCACACTTGATAAAGCTCTATAATCAACGAGAAGAAGACAGAGGGAAAAAGGATTGTAATATTTCTGATGAGTTCACAACTTACTGTATGTTTTTAGCTACTATGATACAGCATAATAACTTTTTAATAATTGACAGGGCAAAGAAAAAAATATGAATGAAACAACATATTAGAAAAAAAAGCCAAATGAAAAATACTTACTTTGTCATTTTTGCATTACTGATCTTCTCCTGCCAAATAATGTGAGAAATACAATACAACTGTAATTTTGTCTTCTTCTGAGCCAGGCACAAAACACACTGGAAATAAAAGGGATATTTATTAATGTCCCTTTAGCGTTTAGTGGTCTCAAGAGTCATACACAGTTGATTAAAAGAATCAGAAATGCAGATTCACACAACATTTTTAATTGATGCTAAATGAGTTGTACTTAAATAGAATACAAATATACAATGACTTAGACTGGCAAACTATCTCACTCATTTAATCACTGATTATTATTTTGTATGCACATTACTCCCTACTGATAATATAAACAAAGTATTTAGTCCTACACTTTTACTAAAGTTCAGTAAATTAATTTGGCAAGTTGATTAATATATTCACAATACTAATTTAGTAGTCAATAAATAATCTAAATATATAATTATCTGAAAATGCAGCATATACTAGATAATACAGTATGTTTATTTCTTTCATCAATTTGTCCATCTCTGCACAGTCCAAAATTTTCCTTATCATCTCTTCATCTTTTGGTATGACATTATTTTTTCCAATTTTGTGCATAGGTTATTCTAGCTACAGTTATAATATGTAGAATTAGATATTGTATTTTTTTATTATAATTTCTTATGGGTATGCCCAATAAAAATAGTTCCAGTTTCCAATCTATATATTGTTCAGTTATCTCTTCAAGTTACTTTTTAATTTTGATCCAGTACTCTTTTTTTTATTATTATTTTTATCATTTTTTCTTTAAAAACAAAAACAAAAGTTTCCATTTTACAATAGTTCCATATTGGTGTATATCCACAGTTTATGTTTCCACCCCCCTACATATTCACATACTTATTTTTGTGGGTCCCTTATTTCTGATATATTATATATACTACTCCTTACTTATTATACCTACTATTATATCCATATGTTACTTTACATATATTATATATTTAATATCATTTTATTAATGCTTCATGATTTCTAGATCTACTGTACTTGTGTGATAGCAAGTACAGTATGTTTAATATGCATAGTATGTGTATAGCACTTTGCCATACATGAATTTCATTAACAATTGTGACTGACAAATAGTCACATACAGAGAGACATATTCCACTGTATGTATGAAATTGAATGGACCCTTTGTGGTGCAGAGATTAGACCAGTGAGAACTAGATTGCCGATGCCGATCTCAATTGGCTCCTTGGTTCTCCGAGGAGCTGAGAGAGATGAAGCATTGGAAAAGACACCTAGAGAGCATTTGGAGGACTAGTCAATCCAATTCCGACCGGACACTGGTGAGGTCTTATATCAAGACCTATCTAGTGGCGATAAAAGCGGCAAAATCTAACTATTTTTCCGCTCTTATCGCATCTGCAGAGAACTGCCCAGCTGCTCTGTTTAAGGTGACCCACTCCCTTCTTTGGGGGGGGGCGTGCAGGAAGATCCCTTGCAGGGTCGAGCTGAGGATTTTGTGCAATTCCTGCATGATAAAGTCACTCGGATTCGGGAAGGCTTGGACTCCGAATGGGTGAGTCCAGGGGAGGAGACGAGGGTAGGTCTTGAGAACATTATCTGGGAGGAGTTTGATCCTGTGGCTCCCGAGGATGTGACAGGGTTCTGGGTAAGATTAGTGCCGCCACATGTTTATTGGACCCGTGTCCCTCCTGGTTGGTACTGGCCTCCCGGGAGGTTACACGAGGCTGGCTCCAGGGGATTATAAGTGCTTCTCTGAGTGAGGGTGCCTTTCCTGCTGCCTTGAAAGAGGCAGTGGTGAGGCCCCTCCTCAAGAAGCCTTCCCTGGACCTGGCTGAATTAGCAAATTATCGTCCAGTCTCCAACCTTTGTTTTGTGGCAAAGGTTGTTGAGAATGTAGTGGCATGACAACTGCCCAGGTACCTGGATGAAGCTATCTATTTGGTCCCGTATCAGTCAGGCTTCAGGCAGGGGTACAGCACAGAAATGGCATTGGTCGCATTGGTGATGATCTCTGGAGGGCTCGGGACAGGGGTTGTTCCTCTGTCCTGGTCCTGTTAGATCTCTCAGTGGCTTTTGATACCATTGACCATGGTATCATGCTGCAGCGGTTGAGGAGGTTAGGAATAAGGGGCACCGTTTTGTGGTGGTTCTCCTCCTTCCTCTCCGACCGCTTGCAGTTCATGTTGACAGGGGGGCAGAGGTCAACTTCGAGGTGCCTCGTATGGGGAGTGCCGCAAGGGTCGATCCTCTTGCCCCTTCTGTTCAACATTTATGTGAAGCCGCTGGGTGAGATCATCCATGGTTTTGGGGTGAGAGTCCACCTGTACATTGATGATACTCAGCTGTACATCTCCACCCCAGACCACCCCAATGATGCCCTTGATGTGATGTCTCACTGCCTGGAGGCTGTGCGGGTCTGGATGGAGAGAAATAGGCTCAGACTCAACCCCTCCAAGACTGAGTGGCTGTGGTTCCCGGCGTCGCGATATAGTCAACTGGTGCCATCGCTGACTATTGGGGGTGAGTCTTTGCCCCCCACAGAGAGGGCTCGCAATCTGGGCGTCCTCCTGAATGCACGGCTGTCTTTAGAAGAACATATGACAGCCGTGGCCAGGGGGGCTTTCTATCATTCACCTGATTCACCAGTTGCAGCCCTTTCTGGATCACGACGCCTTGCTCACGGTCACTCATGCCCTTGTCACCTCCTGACTGGACTACTGTAATGCTCTCTACATGGGGCTCCCCTTGAAAAGCACCCGGAGCCTCCAACTGGTCCAGAATGTGGCCGCATGGGTGGTTATGAGCGCAACTCATTGTGCCCACATGACACCCCTCCTGCGCAAGCTGCACTGGCTCCCAGTGGTCTTCCAGGTGCGATTCAAGGTGTTGGTTACCACCTTTAAAGCGCTCCATGGCATTGGACCTGGATACCTTCGAGACCATCTTCTGCCACCAGTAGCCTCCCACCGGCCAGTCCGCTCCCACAGAGAGGGTCTCCTCAGGGTGCCATCAGCCAAATTATGTCGGCTGGTGACACCCAAGGGGAGGTCCTTCTCTGTGGGAGCCCCTGCCCGTTGTAATGAACTGCCCCCAGAAATGCGTAAGATCTCCGACCTCCGTGTATTTCGCTGTGCCCTCAAAACCTTCTTGTTCCGCCAGGCCGGCCTATCAATGTAAAGATTTTAATTGGTTTTAAATGTGGGATTTTAAATTTGGGGGTTTTATAATTGAGCCAATTATTTAATAATTTTAATTATTTTTAAATTTTGTTTATTTTTGTGCTTTTAATCAGGCTGTACACCGCCCTGAGTCCTTCGGGAGAAGGGCAGTATAGAAATAAAATAATAATAATAATAATAATAATAATAATAATAATAATAATAATAATAATATTCAAGTCTGTCGGACTTGAACATTTTGACTCTACAAAAAACCACCTTACTCGGAACAGCTTACATCCTCCGACGATACCTTAACAGTTCCTAGGTCCTTGATTAGGACTCGAGCTGCTGAGCTATTAACCAGCCTCAAAGGCTGTGAATCTCACTAAAGATTAACCAATAAATAATAATAATAATAATAATAATAATAATAATAATAATAATAATATTCATAAAGTCTCATAAAGCATGCTTAAGGAACCATGAGGTAACGGAAATCAGCCAAACCTATTTAAAGAGTTAAATTTTATTGCTAATCTTATTCTAGGAAATAATTTATAAGTGATGTGTTGTAGCATAGGATTCTAATCAGCTGTTATGTGACTGCACACATTCTCTCAGTGGCTATTGCATTTGATGATCAACTGAAAATTCTAGATATTCTTAAAATGAAGGAGGATGAAGATGTTGCAAAAATCCAGACTGGAAGAAACTAAGCCAGAATTGAAAAAAAAAAAAAACTTTCTTTGATTAGGTTCCACCATTTTAGATTGGAATGAGATTTACAGCAGGCACAGATATACCATTTTTAACATTTTACCTGCAAAGAAAATGGCAGTAATTCTTCCCCTCTATTCTCTCCTACTTTGCTATTAAAATTTATCAGTGTGAAAAGAAATAGGAATAGTGGTGTCAGGTTGAAAATTTGCCCATTTCTGAACCAAGGCATGTATTATCAAAAGATGCCTGATTTTTCTCCAAACAGGCAAAGTATAAGAGTCAACAAGCTAGGACAAGTGTTCTTAAAAACACTTAGTAACTGAGGTGTCTAGATACAAAGTTAGCTTTTTGACAACCTGCAATTTATATGAGTTTTCAAAGCAATGTGTAACCTTATTTAAGGATGTGTTTCTTTGATGCCCAGAAGGTTCATTGACAAACTTTGAAGAAGATATAGTCCATTGATTCACACTTGACCTATTCTTTTCTGACAATAAGAAAGTAGGAGTCTACCAATAGGGTTGTCTTTTTAAAGATTTTTTTAAAAAGAGGATGAATCACTATCCTTCAGTGATTGCTTAATTCCTCCATATAATTCTTCTATATTGCACCTGTAGGCTCTTCTTGATCTGTGCAGTACTTCTTGTGCAGCCCAATGTGCCATTCTCAACTCTGCTCCCATTGTAATCATTCTATTTAGGTAAAGAAATATATCTGAAATAATGACCGATAGGGCACAAGTTGTCTAATATACAACTAAATATAAAGAAGCAAACAACCAAATAAGTAAAATAATTGTAAAACATTTAATTTTAATGAATTTCTCATTTATCCAGTCATAAAGTTGAGATACTACAAAATCAAATACATATACATATACAAAGATACTTTAATACATTTCTCATTGGATTCTCATATTATGTACAATTTACAAGGATTTTCCATAAGGTAAACACAACATTAGATTATTTTTAAATATATTTCATTCATGCTTCCTTCTAATGGGTTTGGGTGTATGTATATATAAAGATAAAGATATAGACAGAGAAATAGGCACACACTTTATCTAACACCTCAATCTGAATTGCATAACATTCCACTCAATTATTTAATATAATTTTCTTAATTCTAATTTCATATGTTTAGTTAGATCTTAGTTCAGAATTTCTATCTTGAGAATTAAAGTAGTATACAAAAGACATAATTTCTAGTTAAGCTACAATTGGAAGAGATTACTCAATTTCACAATAAAATAAATTAAAATAAATCAGCTGTTGTATGAGTCTTCAATGTAACCTATTGTAATGTGTAAGAATGTGCAGGATATTTACCAAAATTTTATTCCTACTTTTTTCTTTTCTGTTAAAATAGAAGCAAATTATTTTGTTTCAAACCTCAAGAAGACTTAAAAGAACAACATTAATGTCCTTGTTTCTCATGGTATAGATTAATGAATTTAAAATGAATGTAGTAATGGAATACAGAATTATAATTATTAAACCAAGGGACAATGGAATGTCAGAAAACTAGTTTGGTGTGATGGTTAAGGTGCTGACCTAGAAACCAGGAGCATGTGAGTTTAAGTTCCACTTTAAGCATGAAAAACAGTTTGGGTCAGTTGTTGTATATTAGGAAGTCAGTAAAATTAATCACGATTTTGTAAATATTTCTCATATGGATCATTATTACAATATTCCACAAAACAAAACAAAAAACTAAATTAAATTATTGTCAAATTCATTTCATCAATCTTTTGTTTTTCCAAATGTTGGGGCAATAAAGTACATGGGCAATTGGGTTTTTTTTTTTTTTTTTGGATAATAACAAATCAGTGAATAAAGGGATGTTAAGCTTTATTATTAGCTCAAGCAAATAGATGTTAAAGCATAATGTACAAAGCATGCATAGCAAGCAAAATAATATTCAAATACTTACAAGCTTTCAAGAGCTCCTTAGTAACCAAAGGGTGGCCAATTTCAGCAGTACCCAATGTCAGGTTCTGTACAGAAGCTCTCAATAAACAACAAACTCAAAACTTCACAGTCCTGCTATGGTCATGAGACTGCAAGACCTGACCTGAACCAAAATTCTGACAAATTCACAGGTTTGCAGCTATAGGAAGATCTCCCCCACTCATCGTTTATTCAGCAAACAAGAGTAGAAAGCTAGCTTAGCTTGGAAAGAACTCTAAACATCTAGAGTTTTCTTAATTTGAGAGCAAAATAAAACTGAACTTGAAATACAATTGTCTTCTGCCTTGCCATTTAATTTTTTTTTCTCAATATATACACTGTAAATATTCTCTTCATACATATATATGTTGATTGTAGGATGAACATTCTAAGTCAGTCAAGAAATTATAGCCCAGAAAATTGTGCATATCTTTTCATGTAGTCACCAGAAATCAGATTAATAACAATAAGAGATATGTCTGGATATGTTAAATAGAGATATGTTCAATTACAAAAATGAAAAAAAAATTCTAATATAAGATAATATTTGTGAAAATGGGGGTGTAGTCACATGGTTTTATATGTGTGTTTTTTTCTCTTTTTCACTTGAACATTTGATGCCTCTTTAAAAAAAAATAAACCACATATCAAAAAGCCTTGTAAGAGCAGCTTTGATCTTCTTGTTTCTCATGCTGTAGATTATTGGATTCAACATGGATGGAATAGTGGAATACATAATTGTAATTATGAAATCAAGGTGAGATGGACTGTCTGATATGTCTCTTAAGTAAGCAAAGCAAGCAGTAAACAAAAATAGGGAAAAGACTATAAGGTGTGGCAAACAAGTAGAAAAGGATTTTTTCCTTCCTTGGGTAGAAGGAATTTTCAACACAGCAGAGAAGATGTGCATATAAGTAACAATGACAAAGACAAAACAACCAAGTGCTAATGTAGAACTGAACATTATAATTCCAATTTCAGTTAAATATAAACCAGGACATGCAATCTTAAGTAAATATGGGATTTCACAATAGAACTGATTGATGATGTTAGAGCAGAAAGGAATAGTGAATGTTGCAGTAGTGTGTAATATGGCATTGAGAAAACTGGCAATCCATGCACTGCCGACCATTTTAGTGCAGGCTTTCCTGTTCATTATCATTTCATATTGTAAAGGATTACAAATGGCAATATACCGATCATATGCCATAATAGTAAGGATGGAAATATCACAGGCTAAGAAAAAGAAAAACAAAAGAACCTGACAAACACATCCAGAATAAGAAATGTACCTTATATTTGTAAGAAAATTTAAAACTGTTTTAGGAATAATTACTGAAACTGAACCAATGTCTTGGATAGCTAAATTCATCATGAAGAAGTACATGGGAGTGTGAAGATGGTGGTCAAAGACAACAGCAATAATAATGAGAAGATTCCCAGTTACTGTTGTTAAATAAAGTATCAGGAATAAAGATAAGTAAATAATCTGTACCTCCCAAAATTTTGAGAAATCCAAAAGAAGAAATACAGATGTGTCATTATCCATTCTTAATTATGAGAACTTTAAAGAAACAAGGAAAATTTAATACAAATCCTTTGAAGTATTTTAAAAAGTAACTGATCAACTTTCACTGAACATTACAATAAATCTTGATCCTACAACATTTAGAATAACACAATTTACATTGAGATTTGTCAATTATCTTACTTAAGCCTTAGGCCTTAAGGCATTATTATATTTCTTGGACTTGGACATATTTGAGAATGCATTTTAAAGTTTAAGGTATTTCTTCAGTACTCATGTGTAAGGTCTAATCAGATTCAAAATGTTGGTTTCTTTGTTGAGATGGTTAGAGTCAAATGATACAGATGGAAGTATCCAAATTCAGTTAAGTTCCTTCAGTTTGGAATGTTTCGGAAGCTAGATCCAAAATATGCATGGAGAAAAGGCTTTGTGTAAGTTGAAGCTTTTTAATCATTTAAAGAAATCAATGACTCATTCTGATTACTGACTTTGGTTTAAAAAGAGCATGAAAATGCCTTTTGAGAGAATGTTCAATACAAAAGTTCTAAGGACATGTTAAAAATTCAAATAAGGGCATAAAGGGAAATAAACTGAACATAGATTGCACAAAGTTAATATAAATTGACTTTAGTGGATTACAATCAATCAATAGGCATTGACTTTAGTGGATTACAATCAATCAAGATGCATTGTAAGCTGCCCTGAGTCTCCGGAGAAGGACGGCATATAAATCAAATTAAAAAAAAAAAAGACAATGAAAATAAGATCCCATCTCCTCCCCATGTACATTTTGCTTCCTTCCTCCTCATCCTTGTGAATTTTAAAACAATTTTAGGTGTTAGTATTTATTATTTTAAAGCTTCATATTGGTGTTTTACTAATTGTAAGTCATCTAGAATCATCTCTAGGCAAGATGGGCAGCATATAAGTTTAATAAATAAATACAAATAAAAGACAAGGACATCTTTGGCTGAATGAGTTCAAAATCAAATAAGTGAATAACTTACCATCTTTAGCCATCTTGGTCTATCTGTATGTTGTGCAGCCAGTGCTGATATTTCATCCAAGTACATTTCCCCAGAGATATTTTTAGAAAGCTGTCTCCATTGGGAGGATAAAAAAGGCACCAAGGATTTTTTTTTTTTTACTCCTTAGATCATTTCCCTAGAATTGGTATTGTTTTAATTGGGATAAGGGAGAAGTAATATGCAGCCTCAATAATGGGAAAGGTTATATCAAACTGTACATTTTCATATTATGGAAATCTAAAATGCTTCAACTCAAAAGAACTTTGCTGCTATTTGTGCAGGATATTTTACAAGTGTCCTTAGAAATTTTAATTCTAAATTTCTATAAATTTAATAAATCGAATTTATTTAATTTGATTTTATTTCTGCTTTTTAAATTTTGTATATATGTATTTTATTGTTGGCTGTTCACCGCCCTGAGTCCTTCGGGAGTAGGGCGGTATATAAATCAAATAAAAGTAAAAGTAAAAAAGTAAAGAAATAAGGTGCTATTGGTTCTTCTTAGATAATATCAGAGAATATCAGAGAATGTAAGGATTTTTCTTAGTTCACTGCTGTGTATGTGATCCCTAAAAATATTTCTCTGTCCCCTTCAAACAAATTTCCTGTATTATCCTAATGATAAGGAGTTGGCAAACTTTTTATTTATTTATTTATTTTGTCAAATATGTACGAGATAACAGATATAAGTATAGACATGGATATGAACACAGAAATGGGTATAAATAAATTAGGACAGTAGGACAGGGACGGTAGGCATGCTGGTGCGCTTATGCATGCCCCTTACAGACCTCTTAGGAAAGGGGTGAGGTCCACAGTAGACAGTTTAAGGTAAAAGTTATGGGGGTTTGAGGATGTAACAACAGAGTCAGGTAGTGCATTCCAGGCATTGACCACTCTGTTGCTGAAGTCATATTTTCTGCAATCAAGTTTTTTTACTATATAAAAGCTGTACTTAGCTATTTTTTTCTGAAGAAGTGAGAATCACAATGGGAAAATTGGTTATGGGAATTCAACTGAAATATGCTGTTTAAAAGTGAAATGATCTATTCATATTTTTTTCCTTATTTTCCAGATAAAGTTTCCAATGTTTGCCCTACCTGCTGCAATATATACGTATATGCACACACAAAGACATAATTTCTAACATACCCTATAGAGTCAGTAGAAAAATAAACATTTATCTAGTTCTTCAATAAAGTTTGGAGATGGTTTGATTGATTATATGGTGTCAAGTTGTATTCACTCTTAGCAAACACATATATTTTCTCTAGAATAATCAATCAAGTCCTAATATGGTTGTTCATATCTCAGCTGCAACTGAGTCCATCCATCTCTTGGTAGTCATCCTCTTCTTTTTCATTCTATGTTTCTCAGCCTTACATACTTCTTTAAAACACTATGACTTTGCATAATGTACCCAAAATATGAGAATCTGAAGTTGGCCATTTGTACATCATCTGAGAATTCTTAATTGATTCGTTTTAATGATTCATTTGTTTGCTTTCTTAGCTATCCATGGTATTTTCAAAATTCTTTTCCAACACTAAAGTGAAAAAAAATGTCAATACACCTATCTTGGTTCTCTCAAATCCAAATTTGTTACATGAAGATCACTAAGGAAAGACACTGCCTTCACATTTCTGATTTTTTCAAACCCTTCAAGCCCTAGGTTACAGTATATTTCTTGATTGCTGGTCCCTTTAGAGGTAGTCCTTACAAGCATTAATTTATTGATCTCTCAAAATTACAATAGCACTGGAAAGTGATTTATTGTTTTTCATACTGATGACCATTGTAGCATCCCATGGTCATGCGATCAAAACTTGGCAACTGACATATATTTATATAGTTGCACTGTCCTAGAGTTATTTGATCACCATTTGTAATCTTCCCAGCTGGCTTCTGACAAGTAAAGTCAATGAGGGAAGCCACATTTGCTTAATGAGTGCATGATTCACATAACAACTGCAGTGATTCACTAAATAACTGTGGCAAATGGTGGTAAAATGGGGCAAAACTCACTTAACAACTGCCTTGCTTAGCAATTGAAATTTTGGACTCAATTGTGGTCACAAGTCAAGAACTATTTGTTTGCCTTTTTGGATCAACTATTTACACTTCAATATTTTCACTGTTAACTTCAAAATTGGTTGTTCATGTTGCCATTGGTTTGTTATTCTTTATATTTAATCATCATAATTTTCTTTCTACTTTCATTATTAGAAGTTGTAGATCAGGTGCATTTTCAATTTTCAGGCTAGCACCATCAGCATAGTGCAGGTGAGTCTCCCCACAATTTTAGAGCCACGCTCCTTTGCTTCCAATAGTTTCCTTCAATATATATTCCACAAAAATGGGTAAACTATTAATTCCGAAGAAGGCTTTATTAATTAATAACATTGACAGAATATATTTCACTTTTACATAGATTTCATAATAGTTTTAAAAATGGGAAAAGTGTAATTTGTTATACTATTAAATGAGTATGTGGTACATTTAGGAGATCTGCATCAATTTGGTAAGTTAATTCTTGAGGGATTTTTGCATCTTTTTTATTTGTCTTTATTTTTATGTTATTATTTGGTCTGGATATTATATCTTAATAAGTAATTAATTTGTTGAATGTGTATACATTACTGTTTTGTATATGCATTTGTTTTTGTATATGGATTTCTCTCTTTTTTTTCCAAAAATTTTGAATAAAGAGAGACAGAAATGATAGAGTGAATCATGATGGGTGGCTGGCTGGCTGGCTGGCTGGCTGGCAGGCAGGCAGGCAGGCAGGCAGGCAGGCAGGCAGGCAGGAAGGAAGGAAGGAAGGAAGGAAGGAAGGAAGGAAGGAAGTCAGAATGCAGTAAATATTTTTAACCAACCTGATCTTTTTATCAAGTTTTCTTCACTTGTGTAATGTCTCCTCCAGCCAGTAGATGTCAACCTCACACTTTCCTTCTGCTTTCATCACAAACTTTGTAAATCCAAAAGTTTATTCCACATAAATTAATCCATTTAAAAAACAGAATAAAGAGGGAAAATAACTCAATGTCTTAGGCAATGTTTTAAATTCCTAGAATAACCAGTCCACCCTTTTACTTTAATTTTTAGCTTCCCATTAATGTTTTTTTTCTTTTTTTTCAGATCTGTCATCAGCTCAAAATCTCACTCACCACTATTCTTTTGGAGGTGGAGAAACAGTTCCTTTCCTCCTACACTGTAGAGCCCCTCCTTTCTATCCACTTTTTTTGGAAATTAGTTCCAAGGTAGAAATTAGAAAACTCTCACCCAGATCAAACACACTGCTATAGAATCATCTCTTCTTGCTTCCTTTGTCCTGGTTGTCATAACCTCAGTTCAGCCATAATGGCCATCTCTTTTCCACAAGTCAGAAGGGTTCCTTTGGATCAAGCAAGGAGGCAGCCATCCCCTCGCGACTGACAAAACATTCCTTCTATCTTCATCACCCCTCCAGGGTGACTTTGGCCCCTAGGACCTCTTGGCAGATAGAATCAGATGGGTTTCACAGAGCTCTGCTAACTGGACCCCCATTAAGAATGAACTCCTGACTCTGGACAGCATTTCCCTGCAATACTGCAGTTTAACTACTGTGCCACCAGGACACATATCACAACATTAATTGAATGTTAGTTGAATGTTAGTTGATAGAAGGATCTGCATAATCTCTTTACCCTTATCTTAATCATACTTGTTGTTTCTATAAATTTAAATGCCATTCTTCCATTACTGCTAATAGTAATTAATATTTGAAATTTTGGTTGTAAGTTGTTTCCAGATTTTCATTACTAATGAAGACCACAGAAGATCAGCTTCTGGATTGATTTAATTCCTATTGAAAACTTGGAACAGGTTCAAACTTGTTGTGTATGACAGCTTTCTTACTTTCTTGTTGATATTTGAAAATAAATAGATGCATAGATCATTTTCTAGAAAAAAAACTGCTGTCCAAAATGACTTGAAAAAGCAACTTTGATATTT